CCCCCCCCCCCCCCCCCCGTCGTTAGCTTCACCGTCACTGTTGATGTCGCTGTCGTAACAGGCGTCGCGATAGCCGCTTTTATACCCCTTGCTATAGCCGTCATTGTAGCCGGAACCAACCAGTATCTCCTTTCTATTGTCTTCCGGGGACTTATAGCTGTTGCCATCGCCGCCTTCACAGTCTTCGTCATAGCCTTCGTCATAGCCTTCGTCATAGCCTTCGTCATAGCCTTCCTTATAGCCTTCGTTATAGCCGCCGCTGTCGTAGTCGTTGTCGAAGTCACACTTGTAGTCGCAGTGGAAGTCGTCGAAGTCGTCGTTGTTAAATCCTAGTATCTCCTTTCCATCGGGCTTATGGCCATTGCCGACGCTCACCTTTATCCAGAGGTCGCCCTCTTTGTCGACGACGAGGTTGTACTGGGATGGTAACAGCCTGTCAGAGGTGTTACCGACACCGCACCCCTTGAAGAACTCGGGGAAAGTGATTTCCCGATTTAATTGTCGTAGACATCGAGATGTTTGCTGATGGCTGCTTCGATAAACAGATCGCTTTGAGGTCGAGTAACAAGATGGCTGGGAGGGAAAAAGGCGCAAGTGAGTCAGTCTACTGTGGTCGATCGAGTGTCCATTCCGTCGGCTGTGAGAGCATGGCAATTTAAATGTACGGCAGTTAATCCCCATCATGATGGTTTGAACTTCATTCTTTGTCGTCTCGGGCAGAACGGCTGCGTCTCAGGTCTCTGAAAACCAAGTTGTGCGGCTAATAGAAGACCAGATGTTGTAGTATTGTTGCTTATATGCAAGATCCAGCAGTCATATTCAGCTTTTGATACAAAAGGCGTGATACTCGCCCTGGCCAAACAATCGAAGCAAAGTCCCTCCTGTAACGTCTAGCTCTAGCAAACTGGGCATCTCGCCTCTCGAATACCGCTAGCTGTCCCCACCATGAGCTGGCTTGATGTGTTTCCAAGATTTTAATAAGTCATGCAAGTGACTAAAAGTCCGGAACCGTTGAGCGGATTCGTGTGGTCAGATTAATATCCTATCTACCTAAGGTGCATCTGAATGAAGAGTGTCTTGCGACAGCGTTCCCTTTCTACCGAGAATGGAAGCGAATCCTGAAGTGAATCAACCGATGCTATGCTGATTAACAAAGGAAAGAAAAACTGAGGAGAGTAACTAGGCCTGCTTGTCGCCGGCAAACCCAAACACTCTCAACGACCCTTTACCCGCGCTCGGCTCTATAATCCTGCGGAACTTCCTCAGGTCAATATCCTCCAATGGCGAGTAAATCCTCGGCCTCGGGAGCTCCCCAGTTGTGGCATCGACGTTGCGTTGCTCGACAGCAAAGTCCTGTAACTCCTTCCGCAGTCTCAAAATCCCGCCGTCATCAGACCCCGGTCGGGAGCGTTGAGTTGCCAGGCCGTGGAAGACGGAGCCAAGTCCAGCCGACCACATACGCCGGATGTGGTCATTATCCGTTTCACGGTGGTAATGAGG